AGGTTTTTCCTGGTCAAAATAGAATTAATGCAAAAGGCTCAAATATCACTATTAAAAAATGGGATGAAAAATAAGTTCTTTCACGAAGCGTTGAATGTTGCATGGGAATGAATTATTTTCTTTATCAAATTGTTCTCACCATAATTTTTCGATATTATTCCTTATATTCATCATCGTAATGGATTTATAAATTATATAATAATAATTTTGAATCAATTTTTATCAGATGATCAGATTTTATCAGATTAATCTTCGTTTTATTAAATGATTAAATGATAATGACGTTTAATAATCTTATTGCGGATATTGAGCGTTTTCAATGTAAATTGACCTTCTAGAATTATTAATCAAACAAATAAATGTAATTAATAATTAATAAAGAATAGAGGATTTTGTTAACACTATTTAATACGTTTTGACAACAATATTGAAATTTTCTAGAAAGATTTCAAAAATATTTTAACATGTCATTCTTCGACTTTTATTAAGTCTGTTAAAAGATTCTGGAAGATGCTGGTAAATCTTCTAGTAAAGTGACTCTCTGGTATGAGGTCTCTGGTATGAGGTCCAGTGGAGCTAGCCGTGTCACAAATGGTGCACGGTTGGAAGAAGAAAGGGAGACGTTAGATTGTTTATTATAATTTTTTCTTTTAAGAGTCGCGCGTATATTGTTATTTATTTTGTAGAAAAGAATTTTTGCCGAAAAATTCATCGATGATCGTCCCTGTTGCTCGAATCAATTCCATCGTTTTCTTATTCTTCAAATTCTCTCGCAATATGTTTCGTCATCAAAATGATCGTCGAAATCGTCGAAACTGAAATATAGTTCAGAATTCCATTTCAAATTTCTTCTAATTTTCTTCGTTTTGTTTCTAAAATTATTTCAATTTGTGTGCGCAGTTTAAATAAGAAGAGGTTAGCATTCACCATTTCTCGCTCTGCTGGTTGCTGCAAAGATTTCGGCAAGAAACACACTTGCGAGTGGAACTGCAAGGGAATCTGCAGCACTGTCTCGAGTCTTTTGATTTGTTCAGATGCCTAATCACGGTTCGAAATCTAAGGTCAAGAACCAAGCATTTATGCCATTAAAGATCCTTAAAATGTGTGTGGTGCTCTATCAGTATGAAAAATGAATGAATGACAGCACCTTAAATTCATTCAATTATGCAATCGTATGTCATCAGGAAAAATAAATGGTTAGCGCGCAATATTTCTGCTTAGACTCCACTAACTGCTAGTATGATGAGAAATAAAATTTTTATCAAGAAATTTGGTAAAAGAAATAGGTAAGTCAGGTAAGTCAATGGTACTCACATTTTTTACTAACAAATTTATTCGCGTCGGAGTCAGAGTCCACACTCAGACGCCAGGGACAACGACCATCCATTATTCTGATGAAACGTGGAATTATAGAATTTATATTTCGGCAATTTCTCTAGTTTTTCAATTCCCATTATTTTATTAATTTTCAATTTAAAATAGCTATTTTTGTAATCAAATTAAGTAACTATTTTGCCAGTCTTTTCCGTTCTTTTATTTATTTTAATGAAAGAATGGAAAAGATTGATTGTTGCTTTCCCGCAAAACACATGGTTTGAGCAATTTAGTTTCATCGAAATATCTCCGAAGTAAAAATGAAAAAATGAAATATGAAAAATAAAATAATAAACTTCATAATGGTTACTAAAATTTTCTGTTTGCAATACTGGGAATCTATAATCCATTTACATGCTTATTCGCATTTTAATCTTCTTTGAATTCTGCTTAAAATTTTCCTTTTTTTTCAGAAATATTCCCAAATTATTAATGAAAGGTATTGTTATCTAATGATGAAAAACTTATAAGATTATATGATAAGGGGAAATAATAAGCCATTAAATTAATATTTTGGAAATGAAATCAATTCTTCCTCTGAGAGTTAACAATATAGCTGGTTAAGCTAAGCTGTCTTCACTGGCTACAAGTGTGAGACGTTTTTTAGATAAAATTAATTAATTCATATAAGTTATTAATCAAATCAATCAATTCGATCACAGAGAATTGAATATGTCAATCAAATTGTCAGCGCCGATTTGAAATTCATTTTTTTGCCAATGCTTGGCAATAGTTTTGTTAAAGATAATATCTGTTGCTAATGGCTCCCACTACTTACAGTTTTACCGTCTGAGTAATTTTTTTTCAGTTATTGTTCAGAGATCCCAGTCTTTTTGATTGCCTTCTTTTCCTTTACTCACCTGTCTGCCAAGGGATATTTGTCCATTGCGACAAGCCAGTTTAACCAGTTTAACCAGTAATGGTGCGGACTCTTACAAAAAAATCGTTGGAGAGCGCAATTTGCGCGTAGGCTGTGATGCCGCTTCGATGATCTTGACAGTTGGCAAACGTGGCATTAAAGTCCGCTGCGCCAATGTTGGAAAAACCGAAATAATAAGCGTTTTCCCATGCTTAAAATCATAAATCAGTTGTATATCCGATATTTTTGAATGTAAATTTTTAATTTTTGAATTCGTCTTTTCCTTTACTTAAGTAAATTCAGTAATGATAAAGGTAATCAATCATTCAGTTTAAATAATAAATTCATTTATTACTCATTTAGGTTTAAGATAAACGAGTGGTCCAGAACATGTTGAGGCATCTTGCAATAGCCCCGATTCTGATTCCATTAAGATAAAATATCCGAGTGGTGGCGATCCGCATGCATTCCTATTGCCAAGTGACTCATTCCAGTTTTTCTTCTTTCCTGGCATAACTTTCCTAATCCTTTTTATAATATCTTTCTTTTATTATGTAGGCTAATTTGAGAAAATCTGTTGTTCGCAAATTGTAAAATTCTTCTTCATGCTTTAGAACAAGCACAAACATATAATGGCTATTAAAATAGTTAACTATGTTTATTCACTCTATACATGTTGTGTGTATTTATTTTATCTATTTTATTTAAACTATGATTGAGGATCCTTTGTTTATGTTTTCTCTGAAATTTTTGCTCGGATATTGTATAATGGTGACTTCTCTTTTTCGTTACTCTTTAAAGATTTCATACTTTCATAATCTTTACAAGTTATCTTTACAAGATCTTTTTTCCGCAATTTTTTATTGGCAAGTTTCTAGGATGAAATCATTTTTTACTTGGAATTAGAAATATATGGAGTAAGTCTAACAATAGTTGAACTAATAGAAGAAAAGATGAAATTTATTCGAAATTTCTCGAATAAATAGTCTATTTTTTTGCAACTCTCATGGATAGTCGTGATCTTTGTTTTTCACTGCCAGAAAATTTAAAGTTTTAGATTTTTAGTAAGCATTTAATGTTAAATATGAAATACACTTACTTCAACGCAAGGAAAAGTTACATTGACAGATAACCTTGACATATGCAATTCATCGATTCTTATAACTAAGGCTCACTAACCTTTTCCTGTTGAATTCTTTTTTCCATTTTTTTCAAAATCCTATTGCAAGAAAAATACTTAATTATGGTGCAGACAACTAAATTGTGCTAAGGATTATTTACTCGTTATCCAGGCCACTAATTTTATTTTTTAGTCCTTCGAAGTATTTTTAATATAAGTTTTTACTTTTTCACGCAATTATGGAAATTATTTCTAATCCGAAGATTTTTTAGAAAATAAAGTGTTTAGATTAATATATTGGTCATGGCCCTTTGCTTCCCTAAAATCGTCTGAAATTTTCTTATTAATTACCTCATGCTTTTGACAGTCTTTATAGTCCATTTACAAAAATAAATAATAAATAAGTTATACTTAGATTAAAGCAATTCTAAAAAGCTTTTCATTCCGATTTGTTTTTTTGCAATATTTTTTAAATATTTTTTAAATACTTTCAAAAATGTCGTCTTGCAAATTTTATAATTTATGAAAAATGATATTGAGACACTCTTAAAATGCTTATTTTATAGTCATTGAATTCCAAGCCAGCGAAAATTTATTTTATCATCATTGCTTGTTCGTTTCTCCATATTTTTCATTTTTAAGCAAAAAAGTTTTCAATTCGATTAGTTAATCTTGGATTTTTTGATTTTCTTCATCATGTTCAATGGATGCTCAAAAACAACGTGAACGATTACTAAAACATATTGCTTATCTTCCAGGTAATTAATTCTAAAATTTTAATACGATAAATATGCATTTTGAGGGAATTATGAGCTAAAAGATGGTTTTATGAATTACTGAAATTCATGATTGTTATTGATACTTGACGCTATATACATAACAAATTTTTTAATCAAAAGGCGCAAATAAAAGATGCACAAATTGAGGAGATAAATGTCTTACGCAAACTAGGTCAATTCATAAGGTGACAAGGTGACTTTCTGGATTTTTTTACTAAATATTCATTCATTCAAAATATTCATATCCAAGGTGTCTAAAAATTGAGTGTAATTTTGGTATTTTTATTTTTATAATATTAAAATAATAATTATAATAGCGAAAATGTAGATGTGGCTATATAATTTCGGAGGGTCGGTACTGTGATTCCACTTCCAGCAAGATTGAACCTCTCTTTCAAAAAACTGTACTGGTGGTGATTCACCTGTACTTTTGCCGTCAAATGAATCCCTGGCAAAATTTGATTTGTCTATTCCGACAATATAGCAGAGCTAGCATATTCGGTGAGCCTTTTGAGAAAAAAATAAAAAAATGTGGTTTGGTTTTCATTCTACTGGTTATTCTTTGATATCTGAATCCGGCAAAACTTCTTGGACGCCATTTATTCAGATGTATCAAAATATATAGTGCATTCTTGAGAAAAAATACTGAAAGAATTTTAAATTTTGCTATAACGCGAGTTATTTACTATAAATTTTAGGTTCAAGAGACCGAAATGGAAGTCCTATAATCATCATCAATTGTGTTCTTAATCCTCAGACAAATACAAAAAACGGTTAGTGAAAAAATATTAATGTCAAGATTATAGCAGTAATTAAATATTGCATAAAGTTTTTTGTTCCTGTTGATTCTGTTTTTTGTTCCTTTTTTTTATTGGTGTGCTTTTTAGGGTCCGGTTCAAGTTCAAGCATATTTTCTCCAGCTTACGATGATGTCGTCTCTCTTCTAGGCTATCTTGCATTGGTGCCGGAAGAAAACTATCGCCTTTCTGGCTTCACTATCATTGCTGATGGACGTAAAGCACACCTGAAGCAATTAAGAAATTGCCTAAGAGCATGTCAGGTTAGTTAGTTAGTGGCTAACATGGTTTCTAATTAGCCATGCATAACTGGCTATAAAGCTAAGATACTTATCAAGAGGCTCACTTGAAGACAGAAGCACAAATGCATCTTCCCTCCACTTTCCTACTAGGAACAAGAACATTTATACTAAATAATACACCACTCGACCATATTGTTCCTAAAGCATATCACTTTTTTTTGAACCTCTCATCATTTCTAATTAGGCTTATTCTACTGTTGGACTAGACAAATTTTAAGGATAGCAAGGCGGTAAAAGTGCAGATGGACTGTCAGCAAAACTTTGAAAGATAACTTTATTTCTTCCAGGAGTATCAGAATAACAAAAAAAATCCACTGAGCCATTAAACATTTATCGTCAAATTAAATTAAAAATCTCAGTTATATGATATAAATGAATAGATGGACAATTATACCACATCGTGTGTTTATCGCAAATGAATTTCTTCATATATTTCCATAATAAAATTTATTTTCAGCATGTTTTATATAAACAAATAAGACAGGTCATAATAATACAGCCAGAACGATTTTTTGAACAACAAAAGCTAAATTTTGATCTTATAAAGGAAGCATATGGTTTCAAGGTATTCGTATTCACTCTTATATACATTCTTTTTAAAATACATTATCTCAGATTAGGATCGCTATATTGCCTGTTAGGTGGTATATAAGATATAAGATGAAAGTGTATATGGTTTGCCAACATCACCCAGATTCGACTTTTATTGGTCCATTTCTAGCATGGAGTGGCGGCTGAGCCTTAGTGCGTGAACTGATAGCAAATTTTAAGCAAATTTCTATATATTTTTTTTCAAAAATATATAGAAATTTTTCTTTCAGGCAACTCTGACTTCATTACACAAATTAACGAAATATATTGATATTTCTCAGTTGCCGGAAAGCTTGGGTGGAACTTTTCAATACAATGCAGAAGCATGGCTTCATTTCAGAGAAGTAATCATATTAATTAATTACAACTTGTTTTACATCGAAGAATTTACGAAAGTCAGATAAAAAAATTTGCAGAGATATGAAGATTTTATTGTTAAATTCAACAACTGGATTCAAGTAGCTGAAATGCATGCGAAATTAAAGCCTAATGGTGGTTCTCGTGATAATATTCTTACATCACATAAAACTATTTTTTCTGCTGAAGAAGTTTTAAGATTAGGTTGGTCAACTTCTTAAATTTTTTAATTTTAAAGGATAATATAAAAATTGTGATCTGAAATTCAGGCGACGATATTTTGCAAAATTCATTATCAACAACCAATGCAAACTGCGTTAAAACTCAGAATATTGTTTTCGCCTGTGCTATGCAAAAAATCAAAGAAATGATGGAACGTGTTAATGTAAATCTTATATATTTTAACAGTGGCATTACTTAAAAATGCCTATCAAAAGCCTTATTTACTCAATATAATTCAGAGAAAAAATAAGTAATTAAATGAAATTAAGTGTAAGGGCAAGGTAAGTAATATGTGATATGTTGCTTTGATTGAAAATGGCCCTTGATCGAAGTAAATATTAAAAAAGAAATCTGATTGGAATTGGAGATACCACTTGTTGAAGCATTAAGAAGTTCTCTGGTAAAACAATGTATTTAACTGTCAAACCAGAAAAAGTGAGTGGCATTAAGGAGACGTATGAACTTTAAAGTCTAATTTTAAAATCATAAAATTATTTAAGTTTATTTTATAATTTTACGTCATTTATTTAAATTTGATTTAAACTTAAATCATTCATTTTTTATCTTTATTTTAATTATTTTTTATTTTATTTTAATTGTAAATTTTGAAAATTTTTGGTAGCTATTTTTTCTCTTTTAATTATCTGTTCTAAGTTTTTCGCTGCTATATTTTTTTTCAAGAGCCCGTATAAATCGCAATTTTGATCCAAAATTCTACCGCCTTTTGTTGAAATTAAATTATTATCAATTGTTGATGTAATCCACTCGATGCTGGCGACTTACCTATACACATATTGAGAGTTTTTTCGTTACATATGGAGGCTGAGCCGGAGTGGAAACGAGACGCAAAACAAAATCAACAGGAATGACAGGATTATTGATTATTTAAATTATCGCCAAGTGATTTCCTAACAGAACTTGTCAGGAGTAAGCCTAAATAGCAATGGTTAGCGCTATTAGAAAAAAACCCAGACTTTCCCTTAAAGATATTCCCCACACAATAAATAAATAAAGTGGGAGTAAGCATCTCCATCTCACTCCCTTGTTTCTCCAACCTAAAGCCAAACCTAAAGCTATTTTGCCATATTCTATTCTTACTTGCTTGCATACAAATTTCTCAGAAGGACCATAATATGTTCTGGAGTCTCTTTTTTTCTGATTATATAGCTTGAGATGTTCGACGCAACCAAAGATTTTCCTGTAGTCAATGAAGCAAATGACCACTTTTTGGTAATCATTAGCTTTTTTTCTTATCCAATGTATATCACGAATAAAATCAATAATGGTGCATTGGTGGGTTGATGGCGTGAAAAGTCACCGAGAATCGAGGCTTGGGTTCGAATCCAGCTGACGCATCACTCACTATGTCGGGCAGAACTATCGCCTAACGGGGAAAAAAGCAAAAGAGAGTAAAATGGTGAATTGTTGCTCAATTCGGAACTGCGATGTTGAGAATAGCCTGCCATTCAAAAATCCAGATGATGATGACTCATCCATATATTTATGGTCAAGGAATGGCATATTTGTCTAGTTTGACAAGTCAGCAGAATGAGACTAACCAGTAATATTGAATGATTTTAAAAAAAAATCTTCTGTTCCTCGGGTTCAAAATTAAAATACCGAAAATCGAAGGCAAAATCTCGGATAGGAAAAAAACCTCAGAAATGCGTTAACTTCCTTTTATAGCATGAATAACCTTAGAAATAAGGAAATATCCTTAAGAAATGGTTTCTTCTTTTATGAATAAACAGGTTTTTTTATATTATATATATTTATATATAAAATATTTAAAACACATAAAATATGCTCAAATTTAGAAAACAAATTAAACAAGAATATAAGCGAGTTCAATTTGAAAAAAAAAATATCTAAAAAAAATAAATCATTTAGGACCTTTTTACCATAGTTCACGGTTCATAATTTAATTGGTGACATTCCTCTGGTTGCTACTTCCACGCGATTATGTTCACTTGGTATGTATCGAAAGATAAAACCTGCCTTTCATATATCTTCGACCCGATTTTGAACGAATGGAGGAGGCAATTTAGAATTATTCTTAATCCAAAATAAAGCATATTTTCAATCCATAAAGTAAAGTCACGGATATATCCTTCAATTTTAATTGTTTTAATACGAAATATGCAGCACTAGTGCACCAATAAGTATCGATAGTAATTCAAGCTTTGGTATGGATATACCTTTAATTGGAGCAATCCGAGATTTGGCATATATTAAGAGTTCCATTTTTTCGTATCCTGTGTTGAGAGCATAAACTGCTGCTGCATATGCAAAGTTAGATGCATCGGCAAATACGTGTATCTCCAATTGTTTTATGAATTTATCACAAACTTCGATAAATCGTTTATATTGGTCGGCCATTTCCTAACCATTTTGTGCCATTGTTTCTTGGATTAAAGAATTGATCTCAAGACCTATTCTGCTTCCACAAATATTAAAGAAATAATTTGAATGAAATCATCGATGGAATTAAAAATCCCAATGGATTATATTGCGAGGCGACGAATTGCAAAATAGTTCTCTTAGTGATTTATTTCCCGGTCCATGGTTTTAAAATTATATGAATAATATCTAAATCATGAATACAATTAATGCCAAGAAAATTATTCTTGATCGCCTTTGGTTTATTATATTTGGCTATGCGTTCATTAAATGCTTCATCATTTAGAGAGAAATTTTCGTAAGTTTTCATTGCAGCTTCATTGAAGATAATTTTCGTTTCTTCATATTTCAATAGAACTTCCTCAGTTCAGTTGGCAGATAATGTTATATTGTCCACATAAATATTTCAGAAGCTATCTTGTTACCATAAATTTCTACATAATAGTTTAGTGTGACCGATAATAAAAAGGGTGATGAGATGCGATGATTCCGAAGGGAAGTCTTTTAAACGATAACATTTTGTTTTTTCATTTACATCATTTACGTCATTTCATTCTTTCTTAATACTTAATGAGATGTGTGCAAAAAATAGATTAATAAAATTATTGATTGGAAGAAGTGGGATGATGATCGTCTGCCTCGCGTTAATTATGTTAGATAACCTTGTTCCGATTGCTTTCTCAGGACAGTAGAATAAACTGATCACCGCATGTATCTTTATTCGTTACCTTAAATTCAAATTTGGGTAATTAAACTGATAGATTAAAAAGCAAAACAAAAAAAAAGAATAAAGGGGCAAAAGACACAAACGAATGAATATTTTAAACATTAGTATTAAATATTAGTATTAACATGTTGATATTGGGACCCAACCGCTTGGGTCCTTTAATGGTGTTTTTGTTGTGGAGGACTGAGGCTACTGGAAAGGGATTGGCGAGATTTAGATATGAGATTGGACAGGCGAAATGACTTGAAACGACTTGAAAGGGATGCGGTTCAAAACTGTTGGTCTAATGGCTTGCCGTTTGTTATCCAAGCAGGCTATGAATTTTTTATCTTTATTATGATATAAATTTATAAACAATAAGGTTGAAGAGAAAATTAAGAACAAATGAAAGAGAAAAAAAAGGCGGAGCCTAATAATATTCCATACATCATTAAAAACACGTAGAATAAACTCAAGAACAAAAATTCCGTCGAGTGAATATTCGTTATATATCAATGGAACAAACATGACGATTTGATAAAAATGCCCTAAAAAATTCAATCGTCGAAATGATTCGAAAGGTCGGAGATTTGGTATGATAACTTAGGTTTTTTTGGGCATAAAAAAGGAAATGGAATTTAAGATTAATATGCTTATTCATAGCATATATTTAATTTAATGAAATTTATATTTTTTTGTAACTGTAAGCCGAAGTGTCATACACGATTAGTTTAGTAGAGCTTTTATCTGGAGTTAATACGCCATGATGCGGTACATAGTGCACAACCTACATCTTCTCATTGTAATCCGTGTCTTCGATTATATCTAATTGTTTTTGCTCTTTGATTATGTTATCATATAGGTTGAGAATTGATTCCTGCTATAATCGTTTGACCAGATTTTTTAGACATAGTCCCAGGCATGGTCCAAACTTGTTGCTTAATTTATCCTTTGATCCTTTCCATGGCCATCTCACTCGATATCTATCGTTATATTTTGTTGTGAATCTCCTAAACTGTTTCAATGCCTCATCATCGTCGTCGACATTAGGTCCTTCCTGTATTCTCATTTAACTTCCAAAAATTTTAACTTCCAAAAATTTTCTATTTCTGACCCGGAGTTTACGTGCCTATTTGGCAAAGTTGATTCATGTCGCCAATTCCCACGATCATTGGTCCAATTTTCGTATGAAGTAATGAGAATCCGAATTTCGATTTTATTCTACAAATTTGAAGAAATGATCCGCTCCAATTAAAATATCGGGTTGTCTCCAATAATTTTTAAATTCATCGTTTGTTTGGTCCTTAATATTTTAACAATTTATAATTCATTGGTTAGATATTCGATTACATTAGCGCATATTTCGATAATCTCATCTTCGTTAATTCGTATACTGTGAGCTGCGCTTGAGTGGCTGTATATGATTAAGGTTTTTTAATACTGATTTTTCTAATCTTAGTCCTAATCTTCATCAGTTTCTGATAAGTCTAGTCGCTGAACTAATTCCTTTGATATAAAAGGTAACTGTGACCTAATGTTAAATAGTGCTAAAGTTTCTTCCTTTCTTCTGGTTGTAATGGGTTAAATACAGTTATTTCCTTATATAGTAGCAAGTTTATGTAGTAGCTAAGTTTGTATAATAGTAGTTCTATATAGTAGCTTAAGGTTTCTTTACCTTGTTTTTTAATTATTGCATTCATTCGAGCCATCATTGTCGGATTATAATTGAACAATCTTCCAATTTGTTAACTTCTTCGTTTGTCTAGCTCTTGTTAAGGCATAAAATTGTGTTCGGATGTGGTCTATTTCTTTTTTCACATAGGGCACTGCTATCAGAAGCCTTGCAATAGAAATATTTTACCTTTCTTTTATATTCTTCGCCTTGATGTACCTTCAAACAAATAGTACATTCCTTCTTCTCCTTAAGACGTTTCAATCGAGTATTCACTATGGAATATACTTGACATTCACTATCCCAATGATTTTTATTATAAAATATATACGGCCTTTTTTGTTTGATTTCGTTTTTCATTACTGTAACCTTCTTTATAAGTAACCTTCTTTTTGTTGTGGATGGTTGCTAATGCTAAAGTTTTATTGTAGCTTCTTGGATTTTGTTCTTGGAGTTTTAAGTAAGGTATGTGTTTCTTATCCATATGAGCAAATGAGAATTGATTTCTTATCTCTTTGATATCACTGACATTGATTGAATTCCCAAAAAATCTTCTGAGCTTTGATACTGACCATGGGATGCTATCGACTATTTTTTGGTGGCATACTTTGTCAAGTATCCATCGTGGTAGTTGGCTTTCGACTACGACTATGTTAGAATGTGTTCTAGGTTTTATCTTCCAATTGTCGGAAAATTCTTTCCATTTTCCCTACTTTTTCAATCCATTTGGTGAATTGTAGTTCGTTGTATAGTAATTCAGTAATAGTGGATGAGTCGCCATATTTCTGGTCAGCATTTTTCGTACTATTTCATAATTTTCTGGGATTATGTCGTAACCTCTTGCGGCTTACAATGCTGTTTCTTTTGAGCAGGAAATTAAGTAGTTCAGTCTCTGGATCTGGGATAGTTTTGGAGTGAAGCAGCATTAAAATTGCTCCAGAATTCTCTCCAGTGGTCATAGATCACAATTGAGAGTGAGCAAGGATGACTGAGGAAGATTGACTTGGGTAAGGAATTCTCGGTGATTCCTTAGATGGCATTTGGATCGAGGTTAATCGAGGTCTCCATTTCATTGTCCATCTCCTTTTTTATAAATAGTCAACGTGATGATCACTCTGTTCGCTTCATTTATTAACTTAAAGATTCCTTTTTCCCCTTATGTCACTTCTCCATATTTTTCTTCTTCCTCCTTTCTTGTCATAGCAAGAGATTTATGTGTATATTCAATCCATTTGTCATTCGCTGATTCGATTGACTTGATGCACATTTGCAATTGCAAGATTTTTTCTTCGAGCAGTCATCTTTTGATTTCGTACAATTTGTTAAACTTGGTTCCGGAAGTTTGATGTCTAATGCCGTTACTTCGTGAAGGGGTCTTTCTAGTCTCTCCTTTATAGGTTTAATACTATCTATCATTATGGAGATTATAATAAGCCTCATCTGGGGCACCAAAAATTTTTTATGTCGTGAAAAGTTTTGTTAATCAGAAAGAAGAAAAAAAACTAAAATTTCTGAAAGAAGTGACTTGTATACTCGTCGACGGTTTCACGAATTAGAGTTG